AACGAAAGATTTTCAAGCGATTCTACGAAGGGCACCCAAATCTCAACAGCAAAAAAAAACTGCTGTAACGACCTTTAAAAATCCTCATCAAAAGGTTGTTTAGATGGCAATTTTTGTGTAAAAAAAAGTATATTAGCGGGTAAAAATATCTGAATTTTTATAATCCGGTGTTAGTTTTTCAAAAATCGCGTTTTTTCCAAGTCAAACTGCCCGTTTACAACAAGTGTCGGAACTTTTGCCGCACCCTGTATATCTGAAAGTTTGTTAGTTCAGTAGTGTGACCTCCAGATTATTCAAAAACGTTTCTCAAGAATTTCTAATCGGGATAGCTTGGAATTGTTATAGGTGTAAATGCTGGAGCTCACAAGAGCTTTTCGAAAAGTTAGAGATCTATATCCGAAAGTTTGTTAGTTCAGTAGTGTGACCTCCAGATTATTCAAAAATGTTTCTCAAGAATTTCTAATCGACATAGCTTCGACTTGTTGTGGGTGTAAATCCTGGAGCTCACAAGAGCTTTTCGGAAAGTTAGAGATCTATATCTGAAAGTTTATTCGTTCAGTAGTGTGACCTCCAGATCACTCGAAAATTCATTATTTTTTCAGGAATTGATCGTTAAAACGAAAACTTCACCAAAAGAGAATCCGGAAAAAGTGAATGATACGATTATTTTCATTGAGGAGACTTTCATTGGCACAGAGGATGTTTATGTATCGATCAAATCTGTTTTCAACCCAAAAACGGTGTGTTGGATGGGGGTTTTTGAAGGCTTTGGAAGGCTTTGGAAGATCTTTTGAAGGCTTTTGAAGGCTTTTGAAGGCTTTTGAAGGCTTTTGAAGGCTTTGGAAGGCTTTTGAAGGCTTTTGAAGGCTTTTGAAGGCTTTGGAAGGCTTTGGAAGATCTTTTGAAGGCTTTTGAAGGCTTTTGAAGGCTTTGGAAGGCTTTGGAAGATCTTTTGATGCCTTTGAAGATCTTTTGAAGGCTTTGGAAGATCTTTTCTCGATACAGTCGGTCAATTGTCTGAATCGCTTAAAATTAGCCTAAACACTTTCAAAGTCTGACTCGTTTTACTGAAATTTGTATTGAATTAGGTGAATGAAAAGAAGAAATTGAATGGCTTTCAAAGAGATTGAGTAAATCAACAAAAAAAAATTCGATAAAACTTGGTAATTGAAGCCAAAAATGATTTACACATTTTCCTAATGAAATTCCCGATTTCACAACCGAAAAAACAACGACTTGTACTCATTTTTTTTTGTCTCTCAACTAAACTCCAAGACTACCCTAGTTGAATATTCATTAGTAAAGGAAAATGGGGGAAAGGTGAAAATGAAATAAACAAAGGAGAGCATTCTGCTTGACTTCATCAGAGAAATTCAGAGAAAAACACGAATAGAAACTAATTTTTTGAGACGAAAACCAACTTTACAAGTTGTTTATTTGATTTCAATATTGTATGCACAGCCATAAAGCACAGGATTGCTTTAACGATTGAAACAAATAGTAATCTGATGGGGTTAGGACGGGTGAATAAGGCGCATGTGATAGAAGTTTCCTGTCAAGCTCGTCGAGTTTTCAATATTGTATGCAAAAGGATGCGCTATAATTGTCGCAACAAAATAAAGTTCTCATTTTATTAGCCTGGCAAGTGATAAACGTTTGTTTTAGGCAACAAATTGTTTATTTCATAGAACGCAAAAGAAAGAACATTAATCCAAAAAGAGATTCTCCATTATTATCGATGACTTCTGTATTGTATTGTGTATATGTACGTACAGGATGCGTACAGGATGCGTACAGGATGCGCACAGGATGCGTACAGGATTGTAATATGTGCAGGATGCGCTATAATTGTCGCAACACGATAAAGTTCTCATTTTGTTAGCTTTGCAAGTTATAAACGATCGTTTTAGGCAACAAATTGTTTATTTCATAGAACGGAAAACATTAATCCAAAAGATATCATCCATTATTGACTTCTTGCCATCTTTGACGCAATTCCTTGATATCATTCTCAAAAAAACTGAGCGTCCTTCTGAGCAAAGTAGAAATCAAGTGCGTTTTTGACTTTTACATGATCATCGAAACGTTCTCCATAAAGGAATTGCTTTAACGATCGAAACAAATGGTAATCTGATGGTGCTAGGTCGCGTGAATAAGGCACATGTGGTAGAAGTCTCCAGCCAAGCTTTTTTGTGAGTGACTTTTGCTGTGTGCGATCTTGCGTTGTCTTGCGAAAAAAACGGACCATCGACGGATTGATGCCCAATTTCTTCAATGAGTCACTAACTCTTAGCAACTGTTTTGAGTAGAGATCAGCAACGATGTTCTGCATAGGATTCACCAACTCATCGTACACCAAATCTCTAAAATTCCACCAGCACCTGCTCTTAGCTTAAGCACTTTACAAGATTGAATATTAGGATTGACGGATTGATGTCCAATTTCTTTAATGAAAAATGGTAATCTGAGGGTGCTAGATCGAGTGATTAAGGCGCATATGGTAGAAGTCTCCAGTCAAGCTCGTCGAGTTTTTGATATTGTATGTACAGGATGCGCCATTATTGTCGAAACAAGATCAAGTTCTCATTTTATTAGCTTGGCAGTTATAAACGATCGTTTTAGACAACAAATTGTTTATCTGTAAATCTGAGGATGCTAGGTGAATGAATAAGGCACATATGGTAGAAGTTTTCAGTCAAGCTCGTCGAGTTTTTGATATTGTATGTACAGGATGCGCCATAATTGTTGCAACAAGATAAAGTTCTCATTTTGTTAGCTTGGCAAGTTATAGATCGTTTATCGTAAATCTTTCAGCTTAAAATTTTGCGTTCTATGAAATAAACAATTTGTTGCCTAAAACTACAGCCAGCAAAGCTACAGCTAGCCATTTCTATTCTTTAGACTAATTCATTTAGTGAATTCAAATTTCGTACTAGCTTTAATAGGTTTCTATATTGTTTTTTTCAAATTCAGAAAAGCTGAGCTCTTTCTTTTGAGTGACAATGATTGAATAGGTCATTCTTTGAAGTATTTAAGCTGAAAATCATTCACCAAACCTACGGGTGACTGAAAAAAGGAAAAAAGAGGAGAATAAGAAGTAAACTTTAAATTGAAATTGAGAGCTAACGACTATAGAAGCTCTTTTTTGAAATTAAAATCTCTTTTGATTCAGGGGTTGACGATTTGAATGGTATGGTTTATCTAGGAGATACATTGGCCGATAAATCTTGCAGTCAAACTATTCTAGAATCTGTTTGACCTCAAGATTCTTATCGTTTCCCTAATCAATTAAACCTGTCAGCTCTGACCTCCGGCTCTGGCTTGGCTTACAGACTCTAGAATCTCGTTGGAGCATCTTTGCCGTCTAACTTAGAACTAGGCTTAAGTCTAGCAAGGCATTAGTCTAGGAAGGCCTAATTCTAGCAAGGCTAAGTCTAGCAAAGCTTTAGTCTAGCAAGGCTTAAGTCTAGCAAGGCTTTAGTCTAGCAAGGTTTTAGTCTAGGCTTAGGCTTAGGCTTTAGTCTAGCAAAGCTTTAGTCTAACAAGGCTTTAGTCTAGCAAGGTTTAAATCAAATATGCCCTTGAACCCGTTGAACCGGTTTAAACCTCCAAAAATCCAATTTTCCATTCAGATCGCCACCGTTGTTGTCCCGGAGATGCGTTGTGGGAAAGGAGTGATTAAACCATTAGCACAACAAGCTTCTCCTAGAGCAAGGTTTTAAATCTATCAATACCATTTCCTAAACTGCCTCCCAGATTTCACTTTGACGTTGGCCAAGTGGGGATGAAAACGAAAGATTGCACGCAAATATGCATCTTTCCTTTCTTACGGGTACAAATAACGAATGGAACCTCAGAGACGTTTCGGTAAGCGAAAAGCATCAATGCACTGAGTGTGACATCCAGATTGCTCAAAGAATCAAGAATTTCAGGGGGAAAGAGTGGTGCGGAACGGTGCAAGAGGCGAACAAGTTGGGCACATCGGATCAAAAGAAAAACTCGACCATTTCCCCTCTTTTTCTGATTTTTTTAGCGTTTTTCATTAGGCATTGAATATTTAAAACAAAATTTGACAAAAATATTGCATATGGGTAATTATATTTTGTTTAAATTCTCAGCGTTTTGTGTGCCAAATTTGTGAATATGTGATTTATACGATATAAATAAATCTAGAGTTTTTGCGAAACAAGAACAAGAAAAATTTAGATCGCCTGGGTGAAGATCGCCTGGGTGAAGATCGCCTGGGTGAAGATCGCCTGGGTGAAGATCCCTGGTGAAGATCGCCTGGGTGAAGATCGCCTGGGTGAAGATCGCCTGGGTGAAGATCGCCTGGGTGAAGATCGCCTGGGTGAAGATCGCCTGGGTGAAGATCGCCTGGGTGAAGATCGCCTGGGTGAGGATCGCCTGGGTGAGGATCGCCTGGGTGAGGATCGCCTGGGTGAAGATCGCCTGGGTGAAGATCGCCTGGGTGAAGATCGCCTGGGTGAAGATCGCCTGGGTGAAGATCGCCTGGGTGAAGATCGCCTGGGTGAAGATCGCCTGGGTGAAGATCGCCTGGGTGAAGATCGCCTGGGTGAAGATCGCCTGGGTGAAGATCGCCTGGGTGAAGATCGCCTGGGTGAAGATCGCCTGGGTGAAGATCGCCTGGGTGAGGATCGCCTGGGTGAGGATCGCCTGGGTGAGGATCGCCTGGGTGAGGATCGCCTGGGTGAGGATCGCCTGGGTGAGGATCGCCTGGGTGAGGATCGCCTGGGTGAGGATCGCCTGGGTGAAGATCGCCTGGGTGAAGATCGCCTGGGTGAAGATCGCCTGGGTGAAGATCGCCTGGGTGAAGATCGCCTGGGTGAAGATCGCCTGGGTGAAGATCGCCTGGGTTCACTATCAAAAGGTGTCTTGGTAGGAAAAAGAGAAGGCAATTCATCAAAATGGACGAGCCGATTTTGATCAAATGACTAGCATTCATCGACTGACAAGCCATTGAAGCAGACAAGAAAGCATTAACAAGTTAATGAGACGTTAATGCTAGTCATTTGATCAAAATCGGATGTGAAATTTTGTGAAAAGGCTCGACGAAGCTCTAAAGGATAAATTGAACATCAAAAACTTTTTATAAATAAAACTTAATCAAAAGTCGAAGCTGGAAAAATGGAAGAGGAATGGAAGAGACGAAAAAAATCTTTTCATTATATAGAGCTTTCTGTTAGTTTTCGTTATATAGTTTGGCGTCGGCTGTTGTTCATTTTAAATATTAACCAAAAAGCAAATGCAAATTTGGATAAGAAAAACGATTTCTAGACAAAATTTCTCAATCACTGTGCCCTGTCACCAGATTTAGAGGGATAAGGAACCAAATTTAGAGTGCCTGTAACAGTGCCCTGTAACTGTGCCCGGTCACTGTGCCCTGTCACCAAATTTAGAGAGATAAGAAACCAAATTTAGAGTGCCTGTAACGGTGCCCTGTAACTGTGCCCGGTCACTGTGCCCTGTCACCAGATTTAGAGGGATAAGAAACCAAATTTAGAGTGCCTGTAACAGTGCCCTGTAACTGTGCCCGGTCACTGTGCCCTGTCACCAGATTTAGAGAGATAAGGAACCAAGTTGCATTCAGGGCACTGCATTTATAAGTTAACCAGAAACGTTTTCTAAATCAGTTTTTCGCGAGGAATTCGAATTTCTTACTTTTAAGATCGTATCTTTTATCTAAAATTACCAAAAATGCAGAAAATACAAGTACAGGAATTTTTGGAATTGTAGAGTGCCGTTTTATATAGTTGGACTGGGACCAAAATTTAACATTAACCAAAAAGCAAATGCAAATTTGGATAAGAAAAACGATTTTCTAGACAAAATTTCTCATAATATAGCTCCAAAATGGGTTTTTTTTGGAAAAAGCTGAACTTTTGTTGTTTGAATATATATAAATCAATATTTATTTTGATACATACTAACATTGACATTGCTAATCGATCTTGTTGACTTTTCTCGATTCATTTCAATTGCCAATGCTATTGAAGATTTCTCTTTGAACATTTGCAAATCGGAGATTTTTCGTCTCATAAACAAAAAGAAGAGTTCGTCTGAAATATGAAATTTTGTGAAAGATTAGAGCTTAGAGATTAGAGGATCCTCAAGCCTGTCCTCTTCCTCTTTCTACCATCATCTTCTTCCTCTTTCTACCATAATCTTCTTCCTCTCTCTACCATCATCTTCTTCCTCTTTCTACCATAATCTTCTTCCTCTCTCTACCATCATCTTCTTCCTCTTTCTACCCTAATCTTCCTCCTCTTTCTACCATAATCTTCCTCCTCTTTCTCTCTCTTTCTACCGCAATCTTCTTCCTCTTTCTACCGTAATCTTCTTCCTCTTTCTACCCTGATCTTCTTCCTCTTTCTATCCTGACCTTCTTCCTCTTTCTACCGTAATCTTCTTCCTCTTTCTCTCTCTTTCTACCGCAATCTTCTTCCTCTTTCTACCGTAATCTTCTTCCTCTTTCTCTCTCTTTCTACCGCAATCTTCTTCCTCTTTCTACCGTAATCTTCTTCCTCTTTCTACCCTGATCTTCTTCCTCTTTCTATCCTGACCTTCTTCCTCTTTCTACTGTAATCTTCTTCCTCTTTCTACCCTAATCTTCCTCCTCTTTCTACCATCATCTTCTTCCTCTTTCTACCATCATCTTCCTCCTCTCTCTACCGTAATCTTCCTCCTCTTTCTACCGTAATCTTCTTCATATCTTTATTCAATCTATTCACTTTTAAAGGCTAATTCTGTAAGGGTTTACACAGGTTTAAAAAAGATACAAAAAAAGTGAATAAATCAGTTAAAAATAGAAACAAGGTTACAGTAGAAAAGGGAAAATATTTAAAGAATTTAAAGAAAAGAACAAAATCTATGCAAGAGAAACGAAATTCACCTTGAAATGCTCGAAGAAACATCCACGGTGTTGTCAATTGTAAAAATGCCGATGTTCTGGTCAAAACCGTCATCGGAACGTTGATAAATCCGGGAATTGGAGTTTCTAGAAAGAGCTTTTGGAAATGAATACAATATACCATATTTTCTCTAATTCTAGTGCACCGCAGCGAGCCGAGTTGGTCACTATTTTACGGTTTCGAAGCTTTTACAGATGCTCAACCCCCGCTAGCTCAACCCTACAAAAGCTCAACCTCAAATCCCTCACTAGATCTCATTGTCAGCTACATTTTCCGACCACACATCGATAGGTTCTGATAAGCGGCTCTCGAGATTTCGAGGAATTTAGGGGAGGCTCTGGGTGCACTACTATTAGAGAGAATACAGTAAATGCCTGAGCCTCATTTCGAGGCATTTATTTGATTTTCGATATTGGTTTATTTGCCACTTTGATTCTTGAATCTACAGAAAAATTTGTGATTGGAATTGCGCGTCTTTGGTTAATGATTTGAAAAGCCTTTTTTCAGCGATCATCCCAGTCGCAATCCTTGCCACATTCTATTAAACCCCGCAAATTGTTTGGGGTTATGCTTCAGCTTCGACTCTGACCGATTCCTCTCGTTTCACGTCTCTCACCACCGTGGCACCGAATTGTCGACAGTCACTAACAATTCTGGGAAAATTTTATCGTTTTCGTTTTTAGATTGGGATACGCGTTTGGCACTTTATTGAATATGTTTAATTGGTATGGAAAACGTTTTTGTTTACAAAAAAAAGCTCATTTAGGGACACTCTCGCATTGTTGTACGGATCAACGGGAGTCGGCAATTGCGCGTCGTTGATTTATGATGTGACGGTAAAGAGAATTTGAGGAATAGATTGGATAAAGTTTCAAAGAATTCAAATTGAAGTTGCCTTGAATGTGTCTAGGTTTACCATGGCTTAGCTTGACTTGGACCTGGTCTGATCATTCTTGACTATCTTGACCATCTTGGCCATCTTGACTATCTTGACTACCAGATTCTCTCTAATAGTGGTGCACCCCGCCGAGTTGATGCCGATTTTATGCCGAGTTGATGCTTTCAAAGTTTTCACAGAAGCTCAACCCTCTAATCCCCCACAAGATCTCATCGTCAACTACATTTTCCGACCACACATCGATAGGTTCTGATAAGCGGTTCTCGAGATTTCGAGGAATTTAGGGGAGGCTCAGGGTGCACTACTATTAGAGAAAATATGGTAAGTAACTCTAGCAGGAAGTTAAAGGAGTTGTTTGTGACGGTAACTACAAAGAGTTTACGGATTACTGTAATTGGTCCAATAGTTGATTACTGTAATTGGTCCAATTTCGAAGAACTCACGGCTGTACGCCATTTTCACTTGCACCGCTGTGTAGGCTTGTTGTAAAGCTGGATAAATACTCGAGACGAGGAGACCGATTTGAATGTTTCGTTGGATCTTTTGCTGTTCAAGTGAGACGGATTTGCCTAACAAAAAGAAAAAGAACCAGTGATTTCTCTTTAGCTAACAACAACGCTTTGCTGAATTGCTTTACTAGCTAGAGCCATCGTAAACCTTTCAATTTCCTGTAATGCAACCGCAAATGGATTATCAACCACAAATTAAGAATCCCAGTCACAGTATTGTAGCCGAACATCCAGGTGAGGGGAAACTAAAGAGAAAAAACGGATTTTGAATTCAAAACTTGCTTTCAAACTCTCCGAAACTAGCTCACCATTGCTCCATCAAGAATATTTGTGCCCAACATCGGATTACACGCATTACCGTAGACTAATTGAGCGTCGATAAGAGAAATGATTAGATAAGCAACCTGAAAAGTTCACTTTTCATTTTGAATTCATTTTGAATCGAATTTTGATACTAGGATAAGAAATTAGCATATTACAATTAGCATATTACAATTAGCATATTGCAATTAGCATATTTTAAGTAGCATATTGCAATTAGCATATTCAATTAGCATATTCAATTAGCATATTCAATTAGTATATTTCAATTAGCATATTGCAATTAGCATATTGCAATTAGCATATTTCAATTAGCATATTTCATTTAGCATTATTTGAACTAGCATATTTCAATTAGCATATTCAATTAGCATAATTCAATTATCATAGTTCAATTAACATATTGAAATTAGCATATTTCAGTTAGCATATTTCAATTAGCATTATTCAATTAGCACATTTCAATTAGCATATTTCAATTAACATATTTCAATTAACATATTTCAATTATCCCATTCAATTAACATATTTCAATTAACATATTTCAACTATCCCATTCAATTAACATATTGCAAATCAACACACGAAGAGTTCGTTTTGAATACGAAATCACATTCACAAGAACTAATTTTCTAGTTTCTAGAATTCTCTAGTTTCTAGAATTTTCTAGTTTTCTTCTCACCTGTACAAGATAAACACCCAATCCGATCACTAGAAACCAATAAACCTTGGGCTGAATGTGGAAAATGATATTCAGGAAACGGTTGAGGCTCAAACCCTGAAAAGGTTGAGAGTTAGACGCGGGATGGTAGCGAATCTATTAGATAGGAAGCTGACCCATCTTATAGCAAGCCGGAACAACCTTTTGAATCTAATTCCCTTACCAATAGATGAATTTGTCCAAATTCGAATAAATAATACCAAAAGCTTTTCAAAAGAAAACAACCAAGAGCATTTGTCTGTAAAAAAAACTAGTAGAAACTTGTAAATCTAGAAATTAGAAGTAGTAGAGGAAAGTAGAGACTTTCTGGAGGATTAAGAATACAAAAGTAATGCAAAAGTAATGCAGAAGCAATGCAATAGCTTGCAATATGTTGAACTCGAGTAGAAACTTGTAAATCTAGAAAGTAGAAGTAGGAGTAGATAGTAGAGACTTTCTGGAGGATTGTGAATACAAAAGTAATGCAAAAGTAATGCAAAAGTAATGCAAAAGTAATGCAGAAGCAATGCAATAGCTTGCAATATGTTGAACTCGAGTAGAAGCTTGTAAAATGGATTAAGAATACAATACATACAAAGCAATACAAAAGCAATCCAAAAGCAATCCAAAAGCAATACAAAAACAATACAAAAACAATACAAAAACAATACAAAAGCAATAGCAAAGCAATAGCAAAGCAATACAAAAGCAATGCAAAAGCAATAGCAAAGCAATGCAAAAGCAATGCAAAAGCAATAGCAAAGCAATACAAAAGCAATGCAAAAGCAATGCAAAAACAATACAAAAACAATACAAAAGCAATGCAAAAGCAATGCAAAAGTAATACAAAAGCAATACAAAAGCAATACAAAGCAATCCAAAAGCAATACAAAAGCAATACAACAATGCAATAGCTTTGCAATTGTTCAACCAACCTGCATTTGTACTATTGCTGCATAATATTGTCCAATGTATGCAAACAATTTGAGAGATTGATTGATAAAACAAAGATAACAAGTCATGAAGACAGTGTACTGAAAGGGTGGAAATTGAGATTTAAAAGGAATTCGACGAAACCTTGTACGTCAAAAAGATCTCTTTCTTTAGCAATTGAACGTATAAAAGGAAAAGAAATGGGGGAATTGACGGGATTCTGTAAGTTCATTGATTTACTTGATTTACTTGATTTACTTGGTTCTTCTTTTGAAATCTCAATTGATCTGATTGAATCTGAGCGGGAAATTTGCTTTGAAATCTACTCACGCAACGAAAATCCCTTGTAGAGCAGCTGGCGCATAAGTGTTTGTCCAATTTGATGGCGTCAAATAATTCTCCATAATTCTCCAGTCAAATAATTGAATTGAAATTGAAACGAAACGCTTTCCAAGCTATAGTTGAGATCATTTAGATCATTTAGATTGATCTTTTAGACCTTTTAGATGATCTTTTAGATCATTTAGATCATTTAGATGATCTTTTAGACCTTTTAGATGATCTTTTAGATCATTTAGATCATTTAGATCATTTAGATCATTTAGATCATTTAGATCATTTAGATGATCTTTTAGATGATCATTTAGATCATTTAGATCTTTTAGATCTTTTAGATGATCTTTGAGATCTTTGATTTGATTTAAAATCTACTCACGCAACGAAGATCCCTTGTAGAGCAGCTGGTGCATAAATGTTTGTCCAATTTGATGGCGTCAAATAATTCTCCTTTAGATCAGATCATTTGAGATCAGAAATCTTTTAGAAAATCAAAAAAAGCTGAAATTTCATTTCATTTTTCTATTTCGAGATGTAAATGTTAACTGAAAAGAGAAAAAGAAACAACAAATTGTACAGAAATTAACAGGAAAAGACACAATTGTACAGAAATTGGATACAGTTCATGAAAATGAAGCTTAATGAAATGAAATTTAATGAAATGAAATTTAATGAAATTAAATTTAATGAAATGAAATGAAATTGAAACATGAATTGAAACATTATTGGGTTGATGAATTGAAAACTGCCGGCTATTGTCATATGTGACAGTTTGAGCACTTTCTTCAAAAGAAACCCATTTTGGTGTCAATGGAAAAGTTGTAGAGAATCAAAAATCAAGCTTATATCCAAATTTCCTAAAAGAAACACTTAGTAGTTTCGCTTGTGTTCTGTGTGTGCGTTCTGTGTCTTGTGTGTACTTTGTGTTCTTTGTCCGGCCGCGTAATCGCTCGTCGTCTGGCGCAGGGCTTTTACATAACCCCCTTCCATCTCCCTTTACCAAACGAACCTGACCGGCTCCGAATCCTCAAATTGGACATTGACTTCTCCTCAAATCAAGGTTAATCTCAATTTATTGGGTCGGTGAATTGGAAACTGCCGGCTATTGTCATGTGTGACAGTTTAAGCACTTTCTTCAAAAGAAACCCATTTTGGTGTCAATGGAAAAGTTGTAGAGAATCAAAAATCAAGCTTAGATCCAAATTTTCAGAACGATTCAAAAACTGGTTTTCAAGAAATGCTAAAATTTACGAGTTTTCACAAAACTTGCATTTTAAGCGAAACTACTAAGTGTATCTTTTTGGAAATTTGGCTATAAGCCTAATTTTTGATTCTCTACAACTTTTCTATTGACACCAAAATGGGTTTCTTTTGAAGAAAGTGCTCAAACTGGGACGTCTCCAGTCCTCCATTTTTGAGTCTCACACTTGTCTCACTCACAAACCAAAATCCTACTACGTAAGAGGAATCCGCAAATTGCCTGTAAAATGAGCAGAAGTCGTCAATAATAATGGAAATTATTTGGAATGAATTCATGGTTTTATGTTGAATAAATTTTCGTTCAAAGTCCGGCAGGTTTCAATTCACCAACTCACCAATTTCAATTCAATTCAATCCAATTCAATTCAATTCAATTCACAAGTAAGTTGTGTTTAAAACCTTTTACCTCGCTCTAAAATAAACTAAAATAAAATAAAACTGACTCGCTCTAAAATAAACAGCCTTGGTTGGGAACTTTTGGCACATCCCCCATACAGTCCAGACCTTGCCCCTTCTGATTACTATTTATTCCGGACCATGAGTCATGAGCTTGCGGGAGAATACTTCGATTCGAAAGAAGCAGTCAAAAATTGGCTCGAGAAGTTTTTCGATTCAAAACCAAAATCCTACCACGAAAGAGGAATCCGCAAATTGCCTGTAAAATGGGCGGAAGTCGTCAATAATAATGGAAATCATTTGAAATGAGTTTATGGTTTTATTTTCAATAAATTTTAGTTCAAAGTGCGGCAGTTTTCAGCTCACCAACCCAATAGATTTGAGTACATTTTGAGGATAGACGACCGTTAATGCAATCAAATACAGCGAACAGTTGGACAAGGTAAATGAATTGCTGAAGAAGAATAGGTCCTCAAAGTCAAAGATCGTTCTCCTCCACGGCAACGCGCGCGCCTTATTTGGCAAAACTGACTCGCTGGTTCAATGCTGTTGTTTTTTTTTTATCTGCGAGTCCCGCGAAATAGCCTTTTCAATTCACCAACCCAATATTTGCCACATTGAATCCGAAACAAACTCAAGACGAACTCGATTCGAATCAGAAGTCAAGAAAAGTGGTTCGCTTGTGAAATAAAATTTCTTCTAATTCTATCATAATATTGGGTTGGTGAATTGAAAACTGCGGGCTATTTCGCGGGACTCGAAAATAAAAAAAAACAACAGCATTGAACCAGCTGAAAGGGGGCTTGGTTACTTCAACATTTCCTCAAACTGACTCTAAAATAAATAGCCTTGTTAGGGAACTTTTGGTGCATCCCGCATCCAGTCCAGACCTCGCCCCTTTTGACTACTATCTATTCCGGATCTTGAGCTATTCCGGATCATGAGCTATTCCGGATCATGAGCTATTCCGGATCATGAGCTATTCCGGATCATGAGCTATTCCGGATCATCAATGAAATTGAAATTACTCATAAAAATTTCATTTTCAATTTTCTAGAATTTCGATAGATTTTTGTATGAAAAAATGTGAAAAATAATGATTCTAAGGGATACGAGAAAGTTTTCTGACATTTATTTATTATATACTTTCTCAGAATATCTAAAAAATGTAGATTATGTCTTAAATTGTGTCTTTTGAGTCACAAAAAGCCCAAATAGTTTGAAATAAAAATTTTCGGGACACTACGTCAGTCATGAAAAACTCTAATCTCAATTTTTAACTGTTTCATCAAACTTTGTGATTACCCTGGGGATTTAGAAAAGATCAGGGAGATTAAAGGGATACAAAATCGAGATTAGAAAACGATTTTTCACCTAAATTTTGCGTTTTACTTCTGTAAAATTGAATGAGTCTAGAATTATGGTAATCTTTATCATTTAAATCAATCATTTAAACTGTTTTCGTCTATCTGGATGTCACGCAAGAGTCTCATGATGCTCAAGAGGTGCTCAAGAAGCCGGCGGGGATGATCGCTGGGATTGAATTTAGCTCAGTTGAGTTTAGCGTAACTTTAAAAGACAAGTGTCAGCCATTTAAACTTTTTTCGTCTATCTGGATGTCACGCAAGCTTTTCTCAGTAACAGCTTCAAAATCCCACCCGATCCACAAGCTGGGCCAAGCACCACATCGACATTTCTCTCCTTCATCAAGTAGACGGCAATCCCGGCCGCATTTGCCTCCGTGCAATCGGTGTAATTCACAATGAATCTAGAATTATGCTAATCTTTATCAAATCTTTATCAAATTCAAGCATTTCAATACTCAAATTCGATTGTATCCAACAAATGGATGCGAGCGATTTCCCCAAGAGCTACAGCGATCACTCTTTTAGCTTTTAACTCTTTTAATAACTTTTAACAGTTCACCGTTTTCCACAGAGCCTCATCCATATTCCATATCCATTTGAATAGTTTCACCGAGTTTTAGAGTCAGAAGCCATCCAGAAGAGGATGAGGAGGTAAAAAAAGAACGTCCGTTAAACAGGATTCATAGCTGTCAGGTTCATAGCTGTCAGGTTCATAGCTGTCAGGTTCATAGCTGTCAGGTTCATAGCTGTCAGGTTCATAGCTGTCAGGTTCATAGCTGTCAGGTTCATAGCTGTCAGGTTCATAGCTGTCAGGTTCATAGCTGTCAGGTTCATAGCGCATAAGATCTCCCCCCAAGCTGACAAAAGGTTCTGAGACGGCACAGGTAAAGCTTGTTGTCATCTTGGGAGGAGGTCTATGCGCTATGAACCATGGTTTAACGGAGATTCTCATCTCGGAAATCCGTTGAACGATTTGTGTCTACTGTTATCATATATCAAACAGGATTCATAACGCATAAGATCTCCCCCAAAGATGACAAAAGGTTCTGAGACGGCACAGGTAAAACTTGTTTCATCAAAATTTGTCCACTCAAAAAAGAGTTAATAAAGTGAACTCGTTTCAGGCTACTTCTTTCTAAAATCACAACATTTCAACTTGAATTACTCGTGATAAAAGCACTGACGATCGTAACTCACTGACGATCTTAGCTCACTGACGATCTTAACTCACTGACGATCGTAACTCACTGACGATCGTAACTCACTGACGATCTTAGCTCACTGACGATCTTAACTCACTGACGATCTTAACTCACTGACGATCTTAGCTCACTGACCATCTTAGCTCACTGACGATCTCAACTCACAGACGATCTTAACTCAAACGTTAAACGTTAAATCTTAACTCAAACATAACCACAATAAAAAGAAAACGAGAACAAGAACTTGTTAGCTTTACAAGTTTTTACAAGAGTTGAATTTGGGTTTTTTAATATTTTGTTCATTTTCAGGAGTCGATCAAAACTCTCGTGAAGCAGAATAAACTGTTTGAGCACAGAGCTTCGTTTTACAACCCTAGCAACCCTTAAAACTTTTTTTTTTGCTTCCAATTGACGTGTCATTGTAGGCAATTCATTGTGAAACTCTAAACACACTTTCTAAACAATTATTCATACTCTGAAATAGATCTGTCCATCCATCCGCGTCACTAAGGTTCTCCCTTTTGTTCGTTCGTATTCCCCACACTGAAGCATGCAAATATTGAGTCATTTTCTAACTTTATCAACTTTATCTACCTCCAAAGCTTTCACATCGATTCACTTTTCTCATTTTTGCTAATAGTTCTAATTATGGTTAATATAAAGTTTTATTTATTTATTTATGAATTAAAGCATAAATTTAACTCAATTAGTTACCCTCAAACCTTGACAGAAGTAAACTTTGACAGCAGTAAACTTATCCTTAACCTTGACAGAAGTAAACTTTGGGCAGTAAACTTATCCTTAACCTTGACAGAAGTAAACTTTGACAGCAGTAAACTTATC